AAAATCAACAGGATAAGCAAACCTTTACCCAAAATAATGAAAAAGCAGAGAGAGAACATGCAAATTAACAAATTCATAAACGAAAAGGGGAACATAACAACGGACACAGAGGAAATCCAGACAACTTTCAGGTCATACTTTGAAAAACTGTACTCCACAAAATTTGAAAATTCAAAGGAAATGAACAAATTTCTGGATAACAATCACTTACCAAAATTAAACCAAGAACAGACAAACAAGTTAAATAGACCGATAACCCACAATAAAATAGGAGCAGTCATCAAAAGCCTTCCTACAAAAAAAAAAAAAAGCCCAGGGCCAGATGGCTTCACTGCAGAATTCTACCAGAAATTCAAGGAAGAACTAATACCAAGAATCCTCAAATTGTTCCACACAATAGAAACAGAAGTTTCGTTACCAAACTCTTTTTCCAGACTACAATCACCTTGGTACACAAGCCATACAAAGACACAACTATGAAAGAAAACTATAGACCAATATCCCTGATGAACATCGATGCAAAAATAATCTACACAAGCCATACAAAGACACAACTATGAAAGAAAACTACAGACCAATATCCCTGATGAACATCGATGCAAAAATAATCTATAAAACACTGGCAAACTGAATCCAAGAATAAATCAGAGAAATCATCCACCATGACCAAATAGGCTTCATCCCTGGGTTGCAGCGATAGTTTAACATACAACAATCTATCAACGTGATCCACCATATAAACAAACTGAAAAAGATAAACCACATGACCATCTCCCTAGATGCTGAACAAGCCTTCGGCGAAATTCAACACCCTTTCATGATAAAGGTCTTGGAGAGATCAGGGATAACAGGAACATACCTAAACATAATAAGAACAATATACAGCAAACCAACTGCCAACATCAAACTGAATGGAGAGAAACTTAACATGATTCCTCCAAAATCATAAACAAGACATGGCTGTCCTCTCTCTCCATACCAGTATTGTAGTTGAAGTTCTAGCTAAAGATAGAAGACAACAAAAGGAGATCAAGGGCATCCAAATTAGAAAGGGAGAAGTCAAACTGTCTCTATTTGCAGATGATATGATAGTTTACATAAGCGACCCAATAAACTATACCAGGGAACTCTTACAGCTGATAAACACCTTCAGCTAACTAGCAGGATACAAGATAAACTCAAAAAAATAAAGCCTTACTTTATTCAGACTACAGAGGGGCAGAAAAGAAATTAGAGAAACATCACACTTTACAATAGCCACAAACAACATAAAGTATCTATGGGTAACACCAAACAAGTGAAAGCCCTATATAATAAGAACTTTGTATCTTAAAAGAAAGAAATTAAACAAGATACCAGAAAATGGAATTATCTTCCATGCTTTTGGATAGGTAGGATAAACAGAGTAAAATTGACAATCTTGCCAAAAACAATCTACATATTCAATGCAATCCCCATTGAAATCCCAGCACAATTCTTCACTGACCTTAAAAGGATAATAATCAACTTTATACGGAAAAACAAAAGACCCAGGATAGCAAAACAACCCTGTACAATAAAAGAACTTCAGGAGGTATCACCATCCCTGACTTGAAGCTCTACTACAGAGTTATAGTCCTGAAAACAACCTGGTATTGGCACAAAAACAGACCAAGTAGACCAATGGAATCAAACTGAAAATACTGATATTAACATACCTACAAAGACTGCTTCCTGAAATTAACTCCAATAGGACAGACACTGAGATCGACAATTAATAAATGGGACCTCCTCAAATTTAGAGGTCTCTGTAAGGCAAAGGACACAGTGGACATGACAAGTGGCAGGCCACAGACTTGGAAAAAATTTTCGTCAATGCTACGTCTGACAAAGGGCTGATCTCCAAAATATATAAGAACTCAAGAAGCTAGTCAACAAAACACCAAATAACCCTATTAAAAAATGCGGTACAGAACTGAAGAGAGAATTCACAATAGAGGAAATCAAAAAGGCTGAAAGACACTTAAGAAAATGCTCCACATCCTTAGCTCTCAGGGAAAAACAAATCAAAACAACTTTGAGATACCATCTTACCCCTGCCAGAATGGCTAAAATTAGAAACACCAATGATGACTCATGTTGGAGAGGATGTGGAGAAAGGGGAACACTCCTCCACTGCTGGTGGGAGTGCAAACATGTATAGCCTTTTTAGAGATCAGTATGGCGGTTCCTCAGGAAAATGGGAATTAGTTTACCACAGGACCTGGCAATCCCCCTCTTAGGCATATACCCAAATTATCAACATCCATGCAACAAAGACAGGTGTTCATCTATATTTGTAGCAGCATTATTTGTAATAGCAAGAACCTGGAAGCAAACTAGATGCTCCTTAACTCAAGAATGGATAAAGAAGATGTGGCAAATCACAATGGAATACTACTCTGCAGAAAGAAGTAATGGAATCTTGAAATTCACAGGCTTGTGGACAGAACTTAAAGAAACCATCATGAATGAGGTAACCCAGTCACAAAAAGAGGAACATGGTATGTATCCACTCAAATATAGATTTCAGACCTAGAGCAAAGGATCACCAGCCTATAATTCACACTGCCGGAGGAACTAGGATACAAGGTGTATTCTAAGAGTTTCATATAAGGTCCCTCACAGAAGGGAGAGGAAGGGTAGTGAGGGGAGAGTGAACTAGGAGAAAGAGAAGGGGAGGAGAGGAAAGCACATGGGACTAGGAAGATTGAGTCAGGGGAGGAATAGAAGACTGAAGAGAGAGGGGGGGGAGAAAGAAAATATAAAAGATGGAGCCATTATAGTTTTGAAGAGAAAACTGAACCTAAAAATGTTAGAGACCTACAAGACTGACTCCAATTAACAATTTGAGCTTCCATGGAAAGGCTACCATAAATGCCCTTCCCTGATAATGAGATCAACAACTAACATATCCACCATCATGGAGCCCTCATCTAGTACCTGTTGGAAAGAGAAACAAACACCTACAACTTAACTAGAACCCAGGTGCAGAGAGAGAGGACAAGACCAGGTTGCAGAAACACATAGAGACAGCTGACCTGAACAAGGAGGAGCTAATGGGCCCCTAGACTGATAGCTGGGAATCCAGCATGGGACTGACTCAGACCCCTTGAACATGGGTCTCAGCCAGAAGGACTGAGCAGACAGGATGTATCCCTGGTACACAAAGGGACTTTGGGGGCACATCCTCCATGGAGGGATACTCCCTTAACCTAGAGACAGTAGAGAAGTTCTAGTCCCTACTTCAAATGACTTCACAGATTTAGATGACCCCTCCTGGATAGTATCAGCCTACATGTGGAGTGGAGGGTGGGGAGGTAGGAGAGGAGGGTGGGGGTTGCATGTGAGTGTGGAAGAAAGAGAAGTAGGGAGGGCGGTTGAAGTTGGATCGAATTGAAAAATAAAAATAAAAAAGAATTAGACTTCAAACACAAATCAATCAAAAGACATGAAGAAGGTCATTTCATATGTATCACAGGAAAAATCTATCAAGATTAACATCCATGCCCCAAATACAATGGCATCCCCATTCATAAAAGAAACAGTACTAAATCTCAAATCACACATAAAACACCACTAAGAATTTGAGCAACAGTGGAAAAGACTACCTTAAATGCCCTTCCCTGATAATGAGATTGATGACTAACTTATCCACCATCATAGAGCCCTCATCTAGTAGCTGATGGAAACAGAAGCAGACACCCATAGCTAAACACTGAGCCAAACTAGAATCCAGACGCAGAAGGAAAGGACAAGACCAGGCTACAGAAACCCACAGAGACAGCTGACCTGAACAAGGAGGAGCTATTGGGCCCCCAGATTGACAGCTGGGAATCCAGCATTGGACTGACTCAGACACCCTGAACAAGGGTCTCAGGCCTGGGCAATCTATGGGGACTCTGGCTTGGAACCAGTTTGTATCCCTAGGTTACTAATGGACTTTGGGAACACATTTCCTAAGGAGGGATACTCTCTCAGCATAGATACAGAGGGGAGAGTCTAGGTCATACTGCAAATATTGTGAAAGTCTTTAATGATTCCCCGTGGGAAGCCATGCCCTTGGAAATAGATGGAGGTGGTATGGGGGGTGGAAGGGTCAGTGGGAAGAATGAGAGGAGGGGAAGGAACTGGGATTGATTTATAAAATAAGATTGTTTTTAATTTAAATAAAATTAATTTTAATAAATAAGAATCCACTGTTAGCTGATGAAATTGAATTGGATGCTCAATGAAATTTGAATACTGTAAAGCATGCACTTCTATGTAAATTAGAAAAACCATCTCTCCACAGTATTGATCAGTATGTCTATTTTGTCTAGCTGAATTTCCATCAGTCATATATATTAGTGCAATAGTTCGTTGTTCATAATTTGTCTTCTGATAAAATGAAACTTCCTTTTTTCCTACTGCCGGGAAGCAAATTCCAGACTCATTCATTCTATGTAAATGGTGTTTCTTGTACCACATTTCTGGCCATGTGTTGGTGTTGTGACTAAAATCTATTACATATCTATTACATTAGTTCAGTAAAGAATTACTCATATTTCTTCCTGTTAGAACTCAAAAATTCTAGAATTTAACACCAAAATTCTGTACCAGGAATGCTACCCACTATAAAGGGCTTAGTAACTTTTTGTACTACACTAAATCTTTTCTGTTTGTATGGTTTTAGTATGTATTACTTTTTAGATAGTTATCATCTGGCTAGGTGTTATTTAGATAAGAATGTAAAATAACTATTTAATAAAAAAGTATAAATTTATATTTTATAAAGATTGAGCACTTATAGACTTGAGAAACTAACCCAGATAATGCTAACAATTACTATTCCTGTAGCTGTAACGTAAAGATAAGACCTTACAGAGTTTAAAGTCACTGTAGGCTACATGAGACTATATCTCAAAATGCAAGTAAATCAATGAACCTATAACTTCAAAGAATCCACAAGAAAACAACAATCATTAAGAAAAGTCACTTACCTCACAGATACTACAGTAAGGGGCGGGTTCACCGTTTATCCGCCCATGCCATAGAACCTCTTTTCCTGCTGCAACAAGAGCTTCTCTCAAAGTCTGACATTGCTTTAGAATTTTCAGGAGACAATATCTATATTAGGAAACATTTTAAAAGAGGAATTAAATAGTGAGTATTAGTAATTTTAGCTTCCCCACCCTCCTGTACCAAAGCCAACCTCCAGGCCCAGCCCAGCCATACATCCTAGGTTCCAGCCATATTACAGTAAGCCTGCCTGATGCTACCCAATTTCTATTCTTTCAGATCCTCAGACTTATCTCTAGCCCTACATCCAGTTAACCAGGCCAGTCTGGGAGCCCTACATATGCCATTCCCAATCTCTAGACCTGGGACCAAAACATGTAACCTTGGTGCTAGTCCAGCCCTCTGTATCAGCACTTAGATGAAGTAAAGGCAATGAACACCTCTCAATGAAGACTTCAAATAATAGCCAAACATACTAGTTGAATTGCTTAGGAAACAATTTTTATATTTTTCTGCTAGTTTCATCTACAAAACAACTCAGCTTTACATATAGGGACCAACCAACTGAAAATAAGTAAATAGTTTTCTAATTAAATGGGGCCAAGAAGCAGGCAAACCTTGCTATTCTAATATCTGGAAATAGAAACTTGAAATTAAAACTAAGCAAAAGAGATAAAGACACCAATTATAATCAAGGAACTAACCAACCAAGAAGATATTACAATCCTAAACACATATTCACCAAAAGTTTGCACTCAATTTTAATAAAAAAAAAACAAAACAAAAACAAAAAACAACAACAACAACAAAAAAAAAACTTGCTACTGAAAGTAAAAACGCAGATTAACTCCAAACCAATAATGGTAGATAATGTACTTTCTCCAACAAATGAGTAATCTGTATACAGAGGAGAAAAACCTTTCAATTAAATGGCATCCTACATCAAATGGACTTAACATATACCTGCAGAATATTCTACCCAAATACTAAAGAATATACATTCTTTGAAGCAGGCCATGTAAACTTTCTAAAACATAGCTCATTCTGATACACTAAACCAATCTTTAAAATAAAACAATACTTTCATGTAGAATACTAGACTATCACAAAATCCAATCACCAGTAAGTACAAAAACCTATGGAGTTTCAACAAACTATTACTGAAATATGAATGCATCAAAGATTTTAAAGAAAAAAAACTGGTACTAAATCTCTGGGACAGAGACTTAAAGTTAAAAAAAAATCTCAGTACTTAAAAGGACTGGTTGTACTTTCAAAGGACCCAGAAGGCAGCTCACCATTGCAACTCTAATATTGGGGACCCTATTCCCTCTTCTGGCCATCAAAGACACTGCTCACATGTTGGGCATAGACACTAGACACACAGGCAAATCACACACACACACACACACACACACACACACACACACACTTTTTTTAAATTTAATTGGAAAGGAAATATGGGCGTGCTAAGGAGATGAATCCGTAATTAAGGGCACTGAAGACAACTTGGGTTCTATTCCCAGCTCCGCTTGTTTTACCAGGTACAAATACACATAAAATAGATAATAAAAAGTGCCACACCCACTCCAGTGGAGCATAAGGAGCTTGAATGGCTGCCTGTCCTGAGGTTCACAACACACAGTGGTTAGGCCTCCTGGGGGTCCCTGGCATAATCCCAGAAGAAGGCGTTTAATATCTTCCTCCTTGGCTCGGGTGTTGGATTCATGAGTGCATGAATCTGTGTTCCTTTATTAGCCTTTGGAATCATAGCCTGCAGCAGTTGCTGTTACAATTGCTTCAAAGTTCTAATGAATCATTTGTGAAGATTATAGATGTTATGCAAAAACTTGAGTTAGAAATAGAGGGAAAATTTAGAAATAAGAGAGAAACTGAAGAAAGACAAAGTGCAATTAGAAATGGAGGATTTACAAAAAAAGTGATTAACAGTCAGGCAAATAAACAATCCCCAAGAAATATTGATTAAGGGTTCCTGGTAGCAGCCTCCCAGATATAGAGGCTCATCCATTTACAGTCCCACAGATGCTCCACTCCCTTGGACAGGTGTTTATGATAAAGAACCTAATTACATGGGTGATGGTGAATGGAAAATGAGTTAAGTTCAATACGTTATCTATCTGGGAAAGAATCAGGAGAGCTCGAGCACCATGTGTGCCCTCTCTGAAGAACAGCAATGGCAGTTGAGGTGGCAAGTATATAAGTTTTTGATATTTAGAAATAATCAGAAAATTCCTTGTCATGATCATCTTAAATATAATATTTTAGGCCACCCCAGAACCAAAGAAGAAATACTAAAAATTATAAGTCAAGACTTGTGGTAGAGATGCAGGGCTGCATGATAAACATCGAAACTAGCAAAAACCAGATGTCTGGCAAGCTGACCACAGACAGGCATAGAATAGAATTTTCTCTTCCTGTGAAGTCTAAGTCTAATGTTCTCATGTTCCCATTATCTAATGATTTCTGAGCAAGATTGTAATCTTTTGGACTCCTGCCAGAGAGTTTGTTCCTTAAAATGACCTATATATTCTGATGCTCTGAAGTAAAGATTCGCAGCAGTAGCAAACCTCTCTTGAGTTTGAGTCTGTCTGTCATGCCAAATTCACTCCTGACCTGAGTAGCCGAGTTAGGTCTCCCAGCAGACCAGTGGTCCGCTGAGCAGTCTGCAGCAAAAAAGAACTTCTGGTGTTATGGAATCCAGGTTTCAAAGCCCACTTCCAAAAATCAACTCTTTTGTAAGACAGTCAAATGGAAAGTTTGCTAAAAGGCTGTGTTTCCTAGTAAAGTCAAAAGCTACACCCATAACATCTCACCAATATAACTAACTACCTAAGTATGAGATGAATGAACAAAGATGCCAAAACTAAATATGATAAAGCTTATGGTAGAAAGCTCTGGAGGTTCCAATTCTATACAAAGAACTATAGGCATCTAAGAAATGCTGAGAGAAAAGGAAAGTCTTCCCAAAGGAAGAAAACACCAATAGATTATGCAATACCAGTAGTCATCCCTAAAAACATACATATAAATAACATTATTAAGGAAGTATTATGTATTTAGGAATATCATACACACACCAACACTAATTAATGAAAAAGCAGCCAAGAATCTGAGGGAGAGCAAGGGGGATTATATAAGAGCTTGGGGGGTGATAAAATCATAATATCAAAAGATAAAAGAAATTTTTTTTAAAAATTTAAAGCTCTGGGACTCACAAAAAGAGTTCTAGAAATTTACAACTTACATTGCAGTTCAGGAATTTAGAAAAACAGAAGTACAACAAAAGTTGTTAAGAAATAACAAAAGTTCATAGCAGCATTATTTGTAATAGCAAGAACCTGGAAGCAACCTAGATGCCCCTCAACTGAAGAATGGGTAAAGAAGATGTGGCACATCTACACAATGGAATACTACTTTACAGAAATTCGCTGGCAAATAGATGGAACTTGAAGAAACCATCCTGAGTTTCTGGCCTGAGGTAACCCGGTCACAAAAACACATATTCACAACCCCAGGAGCAAGTAACAAGAAGGACCCTAAGAACGACACATAATCACCCTGGGAAAGGGAAATAGATGAGATTCCTAGGGGCCATTACAGGGTTATGGATAAACCTGTTGCCAGGGAAACTCCCAGGAATCTGCAAGGATGACCCCAACTGAAGTGGAGAGGATGCCTGAACAGGCCTTCCACTGTAATAAAGATCAGTGACTATCCCAACTGTCATGATAAAATCTTCACCCAGTAACTGATGAGAGCAGATGAAGAGATCCACACCGCCAAGCACTGGGCTCAGCAGCTGAAGAGAGGGAGAAGGGATTATATGAGCAAGTAGGGAAGGGGTCAAGATCATGATGGAGAAACCCAGAGACTTTTGACCCAAGCTCTTGGTGTGAGACCAGGCAGAACTAATGCTATATTTTAGGCTAGGCGTCACTTTCAAAGACCACTCATAGAACCACAAACCCAGGCCAAGGAAAACAGCAAATGGCTAAAAATTACTTCAGAGCCCCCACTTCTTGCTGAGTCAGCCTGACACAAGACTAACAGGCACCAGATGCCCTAACAGGTCACCAGATGTTAGGGTGGAAATTTCCCAATGCTTGCTTAACCCAGGGTCTATCAACCAAAGACTCACCCCTGTACCCTGAGTAGATAGCACCAAGGCATATAGTTCCTTAAAAAGCCTTCTCTCCTGCTGGCTACTCCTCCTACCTTTTGTGTAGAAGTGCTGTTGGACAGCCCAAACTTTAATTTGCTCTCAATAAACCCCTGAGTGATTGATTTTACCAATACCTGGGGCTCTGTGGTGGTCATGTTTTGGGGGTTCCACAACTTGGGCATAACACTGAGAGCTCAGGCGCTGGAACCAACCTATACCCTCTGCATCTAGGTGAGAGTTGTATAGCTTTGTTTGTGCAGCCCCCAGCAGTGGGACCAGGACCTGGCCCAAGTGCATGAGCTGGCTTTCTGAAGTCCCTATAGGGGGTTTGGGGTGGGACAAGCTCTCCTGGCCCCTGAATCAAGTATAAGCAAGGCATCCCCCCATAGGGATGGAGGGATGCAGGGGGGAGGACCATGTCCAACCTCAATTTGGTATGTTATGCTTTGTTGACTCCCCTGGGAGGCCTTACCCTTTCTGAGGAACAGATAGGGAAGGGGGGATGAAAAGGAAGGGAGGAAGGGAATGAAAGGAGAGGAAACTTGTTGGTACATAAAGTAAATTTTTAAAAATTAATAAAAAGGTGAAAAAAGTCAGAGCAGAAATAAAGGAATTACAAACAAAGAAAACACAAAGAACCAATTCCTTACTCTTTGGGAAGATAAAATCATCAACTTCCCAAAAGAACACACACATGGGGGAAAAAAAACAAAAACAAAAAAACCCCCAGATTTTTAGAATGAAATACTTTAAAACACATATACTCCATTAAGCTGTAAAACCTGAAATTTTTAGATTCAAGCCAACATTAAAACAAAGAATAGAGCAACAAACTAAACAGTCATAACAGATAAGAAAATTTAGGCAGTAAAGAAAAGCTTACTGAACAAACAAACAAACCAGTCCCAGATGTGTTTGTGGCAAA